TCAACTAAAGCAACAAAAACAGAATCAATCTTATAAAGTCGCAGATTTTAGAATAATCATACAATATAAAATAATCATATTGTAGACGTTTAAATAAAAGAGTACTGATAGTATGACTAGGGAGAGACTGTCAGAATTGATCATGCAGATTTTAAAAGGAACCAAATAGAACATTATATGAAAAATAAAATAATTTAACACCTTCAGGTTCTGATATTCAGGAAAAGGATAAAGATATTGACTAAATTTTCACTTTATATTTAATATAAATACTTATATATATATATACATTCCCTAAAAATATAAACAAGCTATGTAACTTCCAAACTAGAAGAGGGGAGAAATGGGAATAAAGAATAAAAATTATTTAATAAAAAAAGTTTTAAAAATTTTACAAAGAAACAGGAAAGGCCCATCAGTTAGGACACCCATTTGGGATGCCCACATCCCATATGGTAGTGCCTGGTTCAAGTTCAGGTCTGCTTCCAATCCAACTTTCTTCTGATGCCCTGGGAAGGTAGCAGATGATGGATTAAGAACTTAGGTCCCTGCCACCCAAATGAGAGACCTAGATTTACTTCTGAGTTCTTAGCTTCAGCCTGGCCCAGCCCTAGCTGTTGCAGGCATTTGGGGAGTGGCAAGATCCTAATTAACTTAATGGACATGGCATTTCCATGTGGAAAGTAAAAAAAGTTCTGGAGATAGATGTTGGTTATGATTATAGAACAATGTGAATAAATTGTACACTTAAAATCGTTTAAAATGGTAAACTGTATGAGTACTTTACCACAATTAAACAAAAACAACCGAGGCAGACATTTGGTGCAGCAATTAAGATGCCACTTAGGATGCCCACATCCCATATCAAAGCACCTGCCTTCAAGTCCCTGCTTCCTGCTACTGCACATCCTGGTGGACAGCAGATGATGGTTCAAGTACTTGAATCCATGTCACCTATGTGGGAGACCTGAACTGAGTTCCAGGATCCTGGCTTAGGCCTGGCTGGGTCCTGGTTGTTGCGATCATTTGAGAAGTGAACCAGCAGATGGAAAGTATTTTTATTTTTTGTCTCTCCATCTCTCTGCCTTTCAAATAAAAGCTAAAGAGTAAATAAATACCTGCTGTGTCTATACCCAGGAATAGTCTGCCATTGTTACTGGGGTGTTCATATAATAATCCATCTTAACGCTTTGAGAAGTCAGCTGTGTTATCCCTTCCTAAAACTGTTCTTAACCACAGCACAGAGGTCAAAACAAGACTATCACCTAGAAATGGCTTACAATTATACAGCACTTTATATTTAAAGACAGACTTTTATGTGGCTTAACTCATTTAATCCTTGTGACAACCATATATGGTAAATAGCATTACTCCCTTTTAATTGATAGAACAAAGTGAAGCTTGAGAGATTAAGTTGTCCCAAGAACATGGTGCTATTAGCATGCAGGGGTTCAAATACTTATCTTCTGGCTCTATAGCAATTGATCTCTAAAAGTACAGAAATACTTGTCAACTCACTATGAACTTACATTTAAAATGCCAAAAGCAAAGTGCTATGCTTGTTAAACTGAATAAAGAAAAGGAAAAGATAGCATCATTAGCTCCTCAGTGGCCAAGGAATAATGATTATACTAAATTTGTGCTCTGAATCCTATTAACATATTTGTGGCTTTTTATAATGCACTATTTCTAAACCTTGGTCAAGTTTAAACTCTGGTTGGCTCTTTGTACTTTTAGACTTTAGCTACTAAAAATACCTTGTAATGTGGGACTAGGGGAGCTTTCCTCTAAACTCCTTGTTTTAGATTGTAGCTATTCAAGTTTTAATTTAAATTCTCAAAAAAAAAAAAAAAAAGATATTGTCCAAGTCCAACAAAAACAAGTAGCCAGGTTGCTCTTCCATTGTTACACAAGAAGGGTCTTAAATTTCATTTTTTACAGCTCTCCTTGAAGAGGATGGCAAATGTAAACAGAAGAAACTTGGCATCACACCATCACTGGTCTTAGGGACTTTACGAGTTCCCCCTAGAACAAAGGGCTGGGTCAATGCAACCTCTGAATTCTCATCACACAGCTAGCATTCATGTTCCTTTAAATGTCTGGCATAGATAAGTCAACTCAGAGCCCCAGTTTTTCCTGCTTCAGAATGCTGACCAGGTAGTTTTCTCGATCTCTGGGAAGATTTGGTACCACTTGGAAGAGCAATGGCATTGACACCCCTTTCTGTGAACACAACTTCCTGAGTTTATCAACTGATACAATAAATAACACTCCTTGAGTCAATATGCAACAGCTTTCTTACTGTGGTGGTATTCCCTGAAAGAGCTTAAGATAGCACACAGAGGGAAGGACCCAGGGCGTACTATTTAGAAAGTCTTCACTGACAGGTGAAACACTGAATGCACAGAGAGATGGCCCATGTGTTTCCTCTTTCAAGTTGTCCAGACACTGTGAGGAGGAAAACAGTAAACCTCTGGCTCACCATTGCCTTTACTGCAGCTTGCATTCAGACACCCTCACCTCACACATATGAAAGTGTTCGGAAGCATCACTGTACGTTGAAAGTTTAGAGCATTTAGAGACTCTCTTCCTTTGCATTCTGCTGTAAAATTGATAATCCATGGTTCCTTGAGCTGAGCATGATGGAGACATGAAATACTTTTATTAAAAAATAACTCACCTATAAGTTTGGCAAAATCTCGGGAAATTTTCTTTTGTATATGGTTTATTGTTTTCATTCTCATAGCTTACACTTATAAAGCAACTACTTTTTGTCAGAAACTATACTGAGCATTTCATATGCAATGTTATTTATTCTATACCATACACCATTGACCTGTGATAGATATTACCTTATTCTCATTTAATAAACACAGACACACACACACACACACCCTCAACCCTAAAATGTAAAGAGGTTAAGTGGGCATACAACAAGTAAGTGAATTATGGCATGCAATCCTTGTTTTTATGTGTCAAAGTGTGCCAACCTAGCTCAAAAAGTTCATGGTATTACCTTATACAATCTCAGATATTGAATTTTCAGAATCGGGCTTGCCAACACCTATCATTGCCTTAAATACATTAACATTTTCTTCTTTAAAGAAGAAGCACCAACATTCATATTAGATTTCAAACATCAAATCTATTGTGTTCCTCTCAACTTTCTCTTCTACATGATTTAAATAATAGAAGAAGTATCCCTTCCAAGATTATATTTTCCAATGCCAATGTTGCTTTTAACTTCAAATGTTATGTGATGGCCATTTGTAACTCGTCTACTAAAGAGTGAAAGATACAAAGCAGATACCCATTATATTTTTTTAACTTTTATTTAGTAAATATAAATTTCCAAAGTACAGTTTATGGATTACAAAGGCTCCCCCCCCATAATTTCCCTCTCACTTGCACCCCTCCCGCTCCCTCTCCCATTCCATTCACATCAAGATTCATTTTCAATTCTCTTTATATACAGAAGATCAATTTAGTATATATTAAGTAAAGATTTCAACAGTTTGCACCCACACAGAAACATAAAAATGTAAAGTACTGTTTGAGTACTAGTTATAGCATTAATTCACATTGAACAACACATTAAGGACAGAGATCCTACATGAGGAGTGAGTACACAATGATTCCTGTTGTTGACTTAACAATTTGACACTCTTGTTTATGGCGTCAGTAATCTCCCTAGGCTCTTGTCATGAGTTGCCAAGGCTATGGAAGCCTTTTGAGTTCGCCGACTTTGATCTTATTCCGACAAGGTCATAGTCGAAGTTCCAATACTGCTTAAAGGTAAAACACATTATGAGGACAAGTCTGTTTTTTTTTTTTTTAATTACTTATTTAAAAGGCATAGTTATGGCCAGGGGAGGGGCAGGACAGAGAGTGAGGTCTGGGCAGGGGCTTCCATCCACTTATTCACTCCCCAGATGGCTGCTACGGCTGGGGCTGGGCTATGCCAGAGCCAGGAGCTTCCTCTGGGTCTCTCGTGTGGGTGCAGGGGCCCAAGCACTAGAGCCATCCTCCACTGCCTTCCCAGATGCATCAGCAGGGAGCTGGATCAGAAGTGAGAAGCAGCTGGAACTCAACCCAGCCCCAACCTGGGATGCCAACACCACAGGTGGAGGCCTAACCCACTATGTCACAATGCTGGTCATGACAAGTCTTTTAAGAAGTTTGATTTCTTTTTGGAAGTGTCAGATGTTTTGTTCTAGCATTTGTATAATTTCAGCAAAGTATTTTGCAACTCATTTAACATAAACTGAACAAGTATTTATTGAATATCTACTTTGTTCTGAGTTTAAGAATACAGACTATATATAAAAGAAATGAATCCTAAAGAGATTGCAAGTTAGTGGATGAAAGAAGATGAACATACCAATAAATTGAATTATATATAAAGCAGTACATATTAAGTACCTTTCTTACCCTTCTAGTTCTGTAGCAAGGCCAAAAAATTTGTTCTCTAAAACACATCTTGGTGGTGGGTTTTTCGGCAGTGCAGTTAAGGTACCACTTGGGATACCTGCATCCCACATGAGAGTGCCTGGATTTTAGACCTGGCTCTGCTTCCAATTATAGCTTCCTGCTAATGTGCATCCTTGGAGAGAGCAGTGATATCACAAATATTTGGGTGCCTGCCACCCACATAGGAAACCCATGTTAAGTTTCAGCCTCCTAGCGTCAGCCTGACCCAGACCTGAATTGACAGATGAAGGATCTCTCCCTCTCTCGCTGTGTGTGTGTGTGTGTGTGTGTGTGTGTGTGTCTTTCAAATAAATTTATTAAAACACATCTTGAATCGGTCTTCCTCTTCAGAGAAATTTGGTTTTGAATTTCAGGAATAGCTTGATTTATGCTTTAAAGATTAGAATCCTTTCCCTCCTCCACTTATTGCCTGATTATTGTGATCAATCCTGACCTGTAGATTGAAATGCTGAGAGATGCTTTCATGTTACTCATTTTAAAATATATCTTTATATTTCCTTGCACTACAGAGTCATCAGAAATTGGGCCTTCCATCGTGGTTCACACCACTGTCCCATTTGGAGTTGCATACTTGCAACACAGCATGGCAGAAGTACAGGAGTTAATCATCCAGCAACTGGAAAATATTTTGCCAGGTTTGCCTCAGCCAGTTGCTACCAAATGCCAGAAATGGACGCATTCACAGGTAATCAAGGAACCCATTAGTATGAATACAACAATTTTCTAAGTCAATCAACCAAACTATATTTTTCATCCCTTGTCATTTTCTATTAAGAGAAAATAACAGTGTGATTGTTGGAGCAAATATGTGCTTGCCTAACACATGTGTGCAACTTCTACAGGTTTAATTATCCTGCTAACTTGCAATAAGAAATATATACAATTTTCACTAACGTTATCTTCAAATTCTGACATCGCAAAACATACACCCTGAAATTCTGGGGTTTCCTTTGCAGGCAAGGCAGGTTATATATCAAAATGCAGCCGTTTCTCTGGGGTTTTTCTAAATCAGTACTGTGGTTATATAGAAACCACTATATCCTCTCAAATTTCTGCAATATGTCAAATTAACTTTGTAAGTGTATTTTGCTACCACAATTTTCATTTCTATTAAGTTCCCACTTTGGTTTTGACTGCCGCCAGCAGAACTCTTCAGGAGAGAAAGATGAATACCTGCACACCACAGCAAGCTGAAGTGCTTTTCAAAGTTAGATAAACCTGCTGCTCGCCCTGTAAGCTCTAGCTTAAGTCTATTTATAATAAGCAAATACTTTTAAAAAAATGATTTTGCATTTGAGTATTGGTAGAGACAGTCTTTTGACCTCTTTAAGAAGTCGTTTGGGGGCAACTGAGTAGAGAAAAGAAGCAGTAAGTTATGCAGTCGTTTCCTGAGACTTCAGAGCTCATTGACTGACTTATCAACACTGCTCGTTCTCCAAGTTGTGAAGCATTAGAAGCGCTGTTGGAGGAAATGGCAGCACGTTTTGTATGTTTTAAAGGGCTTTTCAAAATCAGAGGAAATGGTAAATTACTTCCTAAAATATTGCAGTGGGTCTACATGTTTACTTATATCTCCTCAAGTTAAATTATACAGTGAACTTTTGGGGGAAATGTTTACTTAAACACATTATGGTCACTTTAGAAGACTTTGCTTTTTCTTCTTAAAAGCAAGGAAAAAAATCGCAATAGTTAATGTCTTTAATTATATTTAACTCAGTTTTAGACTGGCTTGAAAAAGAACATGGAGAAATAATCTTGATATAATTTGATGCTATATATAGTACACAAGTCACTTTGCAATTTGTAATAATTCCTTTAAAAGAAAAAAAGTTTGAGGTCTCTCATTGTGTCTTCCTCATAAATAATTCACTAGTAAATTGAAAGTAAGTTTCAGATCTACTGATTTCTTAAAATCTGATGTTTGTAAAAATAGATTTGTCCTACCCACAAAAATGATCTATTCAATATTGTGCAATCATAAAATTTAATTTAAAAATCTTTGAACACTATGTACATCCAAACCTTAGTGATGATTTTTAATCACAATTTGGATGCTGAAATTAACTCACTACATTTACAACTCTCTAGTTATGAAATCTGCATTGGCTGAAAGGCCTGAAAGGGAATGTGTTATTAATCAGACTTTGAATTCAGCATTGTCCTTTTTTCATATACTTCTTATATTACCTTTAGCATTTTATAGAATACAACATTGTCATGGCAAAGACCTTACCTGCATTATAACACTGATACAAATCAAACATATCTTTTTCTAAGGTGATGTATATATCTGATTAATTAAATCAAAAGAATCAATATTTAGCTGGTCAGTTTTCAGCTACTCTTCCCGAGAGAGCATTTCTTCAATGCCTTTAAAATGCATCATATCCTTTGGAATCTGACATAAATGTATGCACTCCTGTTCCCTTGCCATCATCATACAAATGATCTACCTTTAGCAAATTCATACTTATGTGTGTATGAATATTAGTCAGTAAAGTGCTAAACTGAAGGAAAGGGTGATATCGGGCCAGGAACAACAGGAAAGAGGACCAACCAACTGATTCTACATTTCTCCCATATCTGAAGAGAGGTACAGAGCCATTTAGGGGGAAACCCCACCCTTATCTTCCAGTCTGGATCCCACACTATGTTCCATTTCTTATCCTCTCCCTGTAAGACTCCACCAAAACCTTCTCTTATTCTTCACACTTCACCCCCTTCCCTCTTTTTATCTTTCTCTGAAAAAACAAATGATAGGGTCCTACACATCCTCATTTTATTAAAACTTCAATAGGCCTCAGAGCTGTGCCCCAGTGTCAGCCAATGGTGAGTTATTGAGAATTCCCCATCTTAGACCCCTCATGCTTAACACTTTTTTCTAATTCATTCATTTTCCCCTTTTTCTCTTTTGTGATCCTGGCACCAGATCCTAACACATAGTTCTACGGGGAATAGGGAACAAGAATAGAAACTATGAGGGACAGAAACTATGATGAACACCTCTATGGTGCTAGGCCCAAAGCTAGCTGATTGAATAATGTGATCTCATTTAATGTTAAAAGTAGCTTTACAAGACAACACTGAATGCTGGTGAGGATGTGAAGTAATAGGAACTCTCATTTGTTGCTGGTGGGAATGTAAAAGGGTATAGCCATTTTAGAAGACTGATTGGCAGTTTCTTTAAAAACCCACAATACTCATGTTATATGGTAAAGCTATCACTTCCCTAAGTACTTAGTAAATGAAGCTGAAAACATGCCCACAGAAAACTTGCAGTGGATATTTATTGCAATTTTACTCATAATTGCCAAAACTTGGAAGCAACCAAGATGTTCTTCAGTAGATGAATGAATAAACTGTGGTACATCCATACAAGGGAATATTATTCAACACAACAAAGATGAACTGCCAATTCAAAAGACATTGAAAAGATTTAAATGGGTCTTACTAAAGGAAAGAAGTGAATCTGAAAAGGCTACATGTTGTATGGTTTCAACTTTCCGTGACTTCCTGGAAAAGACAACACTGTGGAGAGACAAAATGATGAGCGGCTGCCTGAGGTTAGAGGGGTGGAAGGATGAGTGGGCAAGACAAAGAGGATTTGTAGGGCAGTACAAAAATGTTCTGTCTTTACTATAAGGGAGAACACAGGTCATGATATATTGTTCAAACCTATGGACTGTACAACATCAAGAGTGAACCCTAACGTGAACTATGGACTTTGGGTGATAAAGTTCTGTCTATGTAGATTCACCATTTGTAACAAATGCACCACTGTAGTCAGGAATGTTGATAATTGGGAAGGTATGAATGTGTAATGTCAAACAAGATATGGGAAATCTCTGTACTTCCTTCTCAATTTCTCTGGGAACCTAAAACTGCCCTTCGAAAATCATTATAAAGGGGCCTGCACTGTAACAGAATGGGTTAAGCCACTGCCTATTACTATAGCATCCCATATGGGCACCTGTTTAAGCCCTGGCTGTTTCACTTCCCATCCAGAGCCCTGCTAATGTGCCTAGGAAAGCAGAAGATGACCCAAGTCCTTGGACCCCTGCACTCACCCACATGGGAGAGCCAAATGAAACTCCTGGCTTCAGCCTGGCCCAGCTCTGGCTGTTGCAGCCATTTGGGAAGTAAACCAGTGGATTGAAGATCTTTCTTTTTCTCTCTCTCTCCCTTTCTCTCTTTCTCCAGCTCTGCCATTCAAATAGACAAAGTAAATCTTTTTAAAAAATGAAACTAAACCAACTATCTTTACTTTTTAAACCCAGACATGGAAGGGGACCCGGGAGTGAAGCCAAGTGGCCCAGGGATCCAGAAAGCACAGGGATTACAATCACCTCCACCAGAAAAGTCATTATAAAAATTTTAAAAGTTAAGCCCAAATAAAAAATTGTCTAGTGGTAAAACCCAATAAATTATTTGAAATATATATTTTTAAAACTAGTCTCATGAAGTTGCTAGTTCTAACCCACCATAGTGATGAAAAAACAAAGCCTCAAAGAGATGAAAATAACTTCCTTAAGGTGCTATGGCTAGTAATGACAACACCAGTCCACCTGCCTCTCAAGTCCTCCTCCTCCCCCCAACTCAGTCTGTTCCTGTTGTTGCCGTAACAAATACCAGAAACTCGGTAGCTTAAAACAACACAAATGTATTATCTTACAGTTGTGGAGATCAGAAGTTTAAGATGGGTCTCCCAGGGCTGCGATCCTTTCCAGAGGCTCAAGGAGATAATCCATTTTCATGTTTTTTCCATCTTTTAGAAGCTGCCCACATTCTTTGGCTTGAGCTGCTGCCTCCATCTTCAAAGCCAGCAACAACCGTCAAGCCCTTTGCACGCTGCACCACTCTGACCTTTCCTTCTGCCTCCCTTCCTTTAAGTACCTTTGTGATTTCATTGGTCCCACCTGGATAATCTGGGCTACTCTCCCCCTCTCAGATTCAGCTGCTTAGTCATTTTCATTGCATTTGCAACCTTCACTCTTCCTCTCCACATGAAACCTACCATTTTCACAGTTTCCAGGAATGTGGGTATCATTTGGTGGGGTTGTTTTTCCTGCCTTCAACACCCATCCCCTCCAAGCTCTCCTCCGCAATCCCTTGGTTATCGCCTTTTATGAGCCCTGTAAGGCTTGAGCCACAGTAAGCTAAAAGCGACAGGGGAGTTTTGTGTGGAGGTACTTTTTTATTACCCTGGTGCTCTCCCATGCCCAGCTGCAGTCTCTAATGTCACATATCCACAGTGGCCGCATAGGAGGGGAAAATGCTTGTTCATTTATTCACTTGGTTACTCATCTTTTCAGTAAGAATTCAATGAATGCCTGCAAAATGCTATTACTCTGCTCATGAAACACTGGGCACTAATATTTGTAGAAGGCTTTCTCCTAAGACACTAAGTTGAATTTTGTCTTTAAGAAAATGCTGCATTCTTGGGACTGCTGGTCTTCAGTGAGGAAAGGGGCAGATGAAGAAAGAAGGTGTGTTGGAAAGACTTGGGACTGCCTCTGGGCCCTCCCACTTTGGGTTTGAGTAAACAACTGAGTAGTTGGTTCAAACAAGCCTAGCAAATATAATGGTGGATTTTGTGTGTCTGTGTGTGGTTCATAGTTCCTCCCTTTTGCAGCTATTTGCCCTTCATAATTTAGATGTTTATCTAGTTATTTTAACTTGATGCTTAGTCTGTAATTCATTGATCAAGGTTTTTGTAACAAGTGTGATAAATTAACCCTTTGGTCAGATGACCAATAGGTGAAAATGCCCTTCCATGTGCCTTAACAGGGAACATTTAATCAGCTTGATAACCCTAATATTCACATCATTATCATTTGCTATACTTTCATGTTTTAGTGTCTATTATTATTTCTTTCTCAAACTATAACAAATATCAGGTTTAACTCTGATTTTCCCCACATTTCTTCCATTCCAGAAAATATTAGTGGCCCTTTTGTCCCACTTTATTTAGAACACTCACATATTGATTTTTTTTAAATCACCAGATGTATTTTTAAATATCAAGATCAGAAGAATTTAAGTGGAAGGGGAGGTGGTGATAAATACATTGGTATCTTTTACAAACTTAATGGATTTTGACTAGCCTATTAAGCTTGCATAATATAATTAGAAAACAATTGTCTTCTATACTTGTGTTTCTTTACTTAGTCTTTTGCCCTAAAACTGTGCCTTGATGCAGGCGCTGTGGCTTCGCCAGTAAAGCCGCTACCTGCAGTGCCAGCATCCCATATGTGTGCCAATTCACTTCCTGGCTGCTCCACTCCCGATCCAGCTCTCTGCTGTGACCTGGGAAAGCAATGGAAGATGGCCTAAGTCCTTGGGCCCCTACACCTGCATGGGAGACCGGAAAGAAGTTCTTGGCTCCTGGCTTCAGATTGGCACAGCTCCGGCCATTGTGGTCATTTGGGAAGTGAACCACCTGATGGAAGACATTTCTCTCTCTCTCTCTCTCTCTCTCTCTCTCTCTGCCTCTCTGTAACTCTGCCTTTCAAACAAATAAATAAATCCAAAAAAAAAAAAAAAAAAAAACCTGTGCCTTTACCCCCTGCCTTTTTTTTAAGGATCATGAACTCTTAAAGGGTATGAAAGAAGCTATGAACATAAAGATTCTCTTCATTAAAAAAAAAGCAAGAATACATAATCATAAAAATTGCATAGAATTATGAGGATTTATCAGGAATCTAATGTCCTGCTATGAATCCAGTATTAGGAACACCTGCTATAATGTATACCACAATAACCTGAGTAAATCCGAAGCCCCTAATGGCCCAGTCTTGGCATATTGTTGAAGTCAGAGAAACAATCCAGCAATCAAAAGCAATTTAAGATGATTCTGATCTTTTCTGATACCTCTTTCAGAACTTCATGCCATATCAAAAATTCTCCATAATGACTGTGCTAATTTGCATTCCCACCGATAATATATAAGCGTTCTCTTTTCTCCATATTCTTGTCAGTATTTGCTATTATTTGTCTTTTTTATAATAGTCATTCAAACCAGAAAGAGATGATATTTCACTGTGTTGTGATTTGTATTTCCCTGATAGTGAGCATTTTTTCATGTATTTGTAGGCCATTTATCTTTCTTTAAGAAACATCTATTCAGGTCCTTTGCTCATTTCTTAACTGAATTGCTTGGTTTTGAATTTTCTGAGTTGTTGAATTTTCAGAGTTCCTCATATATTCTGGATATTAATCTTTTGTCAGATAAATAGAGATATTTTTCTGTCTTTAATTTTTTTTTAATTAGAGGGTCAGAGATTGAGAAAGTGTGTGTGTATGCTCCTATCCACTGGTTCACTCCCAAAATGACTACAAGTACCAAAGCTGAGAGCCAGGAACTCAAAACAGGACTCCCACATGGGTGGCAGAAACTCAGTAACTTGAGTTATCACCATTGCCTCCCAGGTTCAGCATTATAAAGAAGCTGGAGTCAGAAACAGAGGTGGTATGGAACCCAGGCATTCTGATACGTGAGGTAAATGTTTAAACCACTCTGCTAAACGCCTGGCTTTGGATGGATAGTTTGTAAATATTTTTTCCCAATCTGTCAATCGTCATTTCATTCTATTGATTGTTTCTTAGTTTGATACAATCCCACTTGTCTATTTTTGCTCTTGTTGCCTGCGCTTTTGGGGCCTTATCCAAAAGAATCATTGCTTATGCCAACGTCTTGCAGTGTTTCCTGTATGTTTTCCTCTGGTAGTTTCATAGTTTCAGGTCTTACATTTGGATCTTTGATCCATTTTGAGTTGAGTTTTATATTAGGTAAGAGGGAAGCAGGAATTTTTCAGTCTTCTGCATATGCATATCCAGTTTTCCCAGTACCATTTACTGAAGAGACTCTCCATAACAGCTAAGCAGTATGGAGGTTGCTTAAAAAACTTAAAAGTAGATCTACCTGCCATATGACCCAGCTATCCCACTTCTGGGTATATACTGAAAGGAAATGGAATCAGCATATGAGACAGCTGCATCCTCATGTTCATTACAGCACTATTCACAATAGCCAGTGTCCATCAACAGATGAATGAATAAGGAAAATGTGATACACACGTAAACACACACAAACACTATGGAATATTTAGCCATAAAAGGAATGAAATTCCATCATTTGTAGCAAAACAAATGGAGCTGGTAGAAATCATTATATTAAGTGAAATCAGCTAGACACAGAAAGACAAGTACCCCTATGTTCTGTCTTATAAGTGGAAGTTAAAAAAAAAAAGAGAGAGAGAGACCTGAAAAGAAAAAAAAAGAGATTTATTAGAGGATGGGAAGGATGGGGAGGGAAGTAGAAGAAATGAGACAGTCAGAAGTAACAAATTCTGTTAGCACAGTGAGGTGACTTTTATTCACAATAATGTATTGTACTCTGTGTAAACAATTGGAAGAGAAGAGCTCATAGGCTCCCAATACTAATAAATATAAGGAAATGAAAGGCTGATTACATGGCTAGGTTGGTTTATGCAGTGTATATGCATTGCAAAATTGCACTGTACTCCATTAAAATGTAAATTAATACATGCTAATAAGTTTTTAATAAATGATAAAATATTTTTAAAAGAAAGAATATCCAAGATTCATCATCCTCAACAGAACTTTTGGGATTCCCTCTTCATTCCCTGTATATCCCACTTCTGAAGTTCCTTCAGATCCTCTATACCCGTAATTGTTTTCACAGATTTAATTGATTTATTTGAAAGGCAAAGTGACAGAGAGAAGTGACAGAAAGAATGAGATCTTCCATCCACTTGTTCATTCTCCAGATGTCCTCCACTGCAGAGGCTCGGAAATCCATCCAAGTCTTCCATGTGGGTGGCAAGGGCCCAAGTACTTGAACCATTGTCTGCTTCTTTCCCAGGTACATTGGCAGGGAGCTGGAACAGAAGCAGAGCAGCTGGGAACTGAAACTGGTGCTCTGATATGGAATGCCAGCATTGCAGGAGGCAGCTTAACCCACCGCACCACAACACTGGGCCCTGCACCCTTAATTCTTAATTCACCACAGAAACTTTCTCTTTCCTTTTGCTCTTCTTCACCTTTTACTCTAAACTTTTTTTCCTGTCTTAGACAAGGATTTCCCTGCCCTTCTCAAAAAAAAGCCCCCTGCCCTTTTTTTTTTTTTTTTTTTTTTTTTTTTTTTGCTTCTTCCCGTCTTCCCCACCTGATTACTCAGGTGGCATAAAACTGTCCAGGAGTAAGAGAGAAAAGAGCATCTTGGGAACTACAACAAACAGAAGGTCTGATGATCCATGCTTCTGACTGGGTATCAGATGGAGGCAACTCTGGTGGGACTGAGGGACTGAGCTCTCTGCCCATGGGATCTGACACTACCTCCAGGTGGACAGTGTCAGAACTGCATTAGAGAATGGCCAGTTGGTGTCTGCTGCACACCTGATTGCTTGCTTGATGTTGGGAGACATTCCCACACCTTTTAGGGTCACAGAAATGATCTATGTTGTTAGCACACACAGAAGAAGAACTAAGAAATTGAGTTTCTTTTTCCACTGTATCACTAGAACTGTGATTATTACAGTATAATAGGCATGTTTTCTAGTTCCTTTCCCCAGTAAAGTCAGGTTCTTTGGGTCAGTCTTCAACTAGTCCCATGACTGTTCTCTCGTATTTGTAATTTATAATTGCTGCATTTTTTTTTGACAGGCAGAGTTAGAGAGAGAGAGAGAGAGAGAGAGAGAGAGAGAGAAAGGTCTTCCTTCCATTGGTTCACTCCCCAGATGGCCGCTATGGCCAGCGTGCTGCGCCGATCCGAAGCCAGGAACCAGGTGCTTCCTCCTGGTCTCCCACGCGGGTGCAGGGCCCAAACACTTGGGCCATCCTCCACTGCCTTCCCGGGCCACAGCAGAGAGCTGGATTGGAAGAGGCGCAACCAGGACAGAACCAGTGCCCCAACTGGGACTAGAACCCTGGGTGCCAGCACCACAGGCAGAGGATTAGCCTAGTGAGCCGTGGTGCCAGCCAATTGCTGCATTTTTAATCCTGTGCTGTGATTATGATCTTGGACTTGAGAGTCAGACGGATTTAAGTTCAAACCTAGTCTCTATGTGTGCCTTGAGCAACTGAGGCTGCAACTGTAAGCATTTGGGTCCTCAACTGTAAATGACAACAGTTGGACCTACCCCTGCAATTTGTATTTAGCAAAATGAGAAAACAGAGTAGAAACCATCTACTGCAAATGCTAGTATGCAGCAAGTTCTCAGCATTGCTAGACAGTAGAAGTAAGAGGAAGTAGCGGTAAAGATGAGGTAGGGTGAAGGTGCTTCTTTGGTCATTTCTTGGTAGCCCAGCTTTGTGCATCCCTTACTCTCTCTCTTTGATGACCTCTCTTTGTGCCCACATGCTGTCCCACATTTGTGTTTCTTATTCACTCTTTTCCTTTTATTATTGTTATGATTCATTCTTTTTTTTTTTTCTTCTGTTTCACATGGTAAAAAGTTCTGGACAGGGATATTTCAGAAGAACTGATTCAATGCCAGAGTCTCTGACATTCAGTCATACCCATAAAGGATTATTGAACAATATTAGAACAAGGTGAGATAAAAGTTGTGGCTTCCTACAGAAAAAAGAAACTCTTAATATTTGTGGGGGTTTTTTTTTTTGGTTGTTTTGTTTTGTTTAAAAGCTTAAATCTTTCTAGTTTCTTGCCATTCCTTCCTATACTAACTTGCGCATTTTCCAGCATTTGGTAATTTAACACATTTGTGCCATGAGTCAGTATTTCCTGGCATAAAATGATGGCCACAAGAGCACTTCTGCTTATGTATCATATGTTTATAACCATCTTCAGAGGGCCAAACTGGCCCTATGGGATAACTAGCTGTGGCATCACCCAGTCTACCGACAACAAGAATCCTAATGGTTGCCAGTTCTAAGCTTCTATTGAATTATCTACCACCTCTTTATCATTGGCACATAACTAACCACTTGCTTCAGTTTATGATGAAGCAGCACATGTGTGTGAGATCATCAGCTGAGAAATCTTGATGATTGAATTAGGGAAGTGCAGTCACATTTTAATTGAAGTTTATATGGGTAGCTATTTCCCCTTTACATAAAATTCCATATATATTAACTATTAAATATTTTAATATATATGAGTTTAATGAAATCATTTTTTCTCAAATAATCTTGAGATTTAAACTGCTA